TCTCAAACTCGGGCAGCAGCAGCCAGTCCAGCAGCATTAACACCTCTACTACCAGGCGAGCTCGTACAGGGCATGGCAGAGCAGCAGGGAGCAGCACGCACCGAGCAATGGAGGAGGGTCGTCCACTGTGCTGCCCGCTGCCTCTCAAACTCGGGCAGAAGCAGCCAGTCCAGCAGCATTAACACCTCTACTACCAGGCGAGCTCGTACAGGGCATGGCAGAGCAGCAGGGAGCAGCACGCACCGAGCAATGGAGGAGGGTCGTCCACTGTGCTGCCCGCTGCCTCTCAAACTCGGGCAGCAGCAGCCAGTCCAGCAGCATTAACACCTCTACTACCAGGCGAGCTCGTACAGGGCATGGCAGAGCAGCAGGGAGCAGCACGCACCGAGCAATGGAGGAGGGTCGTCCACTGTGCTGCCCGCTGCCTCTCAAACTCGGGCAGAAGCAGCCAGTCCAGCAGCATTAACACCTCTACTACCAGGCGAGCTCGTACAGGGCATGGCAGAGCAGCAGGGAGCAGCACGCACCGAGCAATGGAGGAGGGTCGTCCACTGTGCTGCCCGCTGCCTCTCAAACTCGGGCAGAAGCAGCCAGTCCAGCAGCATTAACACCTCTACTACCAGGCGAGCTCGTACAGGGCATGGCAGAGCAGCAGGGAGCAGCACGCACCGAGCAATGGAGGAGGGTCGTCCACTGTGCTGCCCGCTGCCTCTCAAACTCGGGCAGCAGCAGCCAGTCCAGCAGCATTAACACCTCTACTACCAGGCGAGCTCGTACAGGGCATGGCAGAGCAGCAGGGAGCAGCACGCACCGAGCAATGGAGGAGGGTCTTCCACTGTGCTGCCCGCTGCCTCTCAAACTCGGGCAGCAGCAGCCAGTCCAGCAGCATTAACACCTCTACTACCAGGCGAGCTCGTACAGGGCATGGCAGAGCAGCAGGGAGCAGCACGCACCGAGCAATGGAGGAGGGTCGTCCACTGTGCTGCCCGCTGCCTCTCAAACTCGGGCAGAAGCAGCCAGTCCAGCACCACAGCTGCTGACCGCACCAATGTGTGCCGCACAGAGCTGGGCTGCTTGGCTTTTCCCGCCACAACAGGAGTAGCAGCAGCAGCAGCAGCAGAAGTAGCAGGAGTGGTAGCAGGAGTAGCAGGAGCAGCAGTAGCACCAGCAGAAGAAGGAGCAGAAACCGTGGATTGAAGGGAGGCGGGTGGTTGGGAGTTGCCGGGTGGTTGGGCAGGAATGGATGGTTGGGAGGTGGCCTGCGGTTGGGCAGTGACGGGTGGTGGTTGGGAGAGAAACCTGACGCCAAGGTCAGACGTGAAGTCAACGGGAGAGGAGTCAAAAACCTGACCCGCGTAGCACTCTCGGAGGAGTGAAAGGACGTGCCGGTGGGAGGAGGAGACTTTGCCTTCTCCCTCTGATGCTAACGCTGATGGTGGGGAGGCTGACGCTGGGGATGCTGATGATGGCACTGGTGCTGAAGGTGCTGCTGCTGTCCCTGCGGCACTTGCATCAAGATGCATCGCCTCTAGAGCAAATGAGGAGAGCAGAGCCTGCAAGAACGCAGCCACAAGATCATTGTGAGTCAACTCAGAATTAATCTACCTGTGCAAGATTGATGCGACTTTTGAGGCGCACCTCAAAAGTCGTCTTTTGAGGAGGCGCCTGCAAAAACGCAGCAACAATCCACCTTCTGAGTCGCAGCAACAAAAAAGAAGCAACAATCCACCTGTGAGTCACTCAGAATTCATCCACCTGTGCAAGATGATGCGACCGACCTCCATGAGTCGTTTTTGAGAATTTTTCGAAGTTCATCTGTCTGCGCATGATAATGCGACCTACCTCCATGACCTTCCACTGGCACGCCTTGTACCCTCCAGAAAACGACATGAACACCACTGGCCGAGGCCGCCCTGCAAGCTCCTGGGCGGCAGGGAGAAGATGTTAGGACACTGACATGCAAAGCTATCCGGCAGGTACCACCCACGGGACAGACTGCTGACGTACCACCCACGGGACAGATTGCTGACGTACCACCCACGGGACAGACTGCTGACGTACCATCGACGGGACAGATCTCTATTCTTCTAGGCACGAAACATCAAGGAGGGTATCGCTTTTGAGAATTCTCAAATGCAAAGCTATTCGACAGGTACCACCTACGGGACAGATTGCTATTCTTCTCAAGGAGAATGAAGAAACATCAAGGAGGGTACGTCACAAACAGTACTCTTTCTGGTTCGGCTTCTGAGGCGCCTGAAAAGTCAAGCGAGATTGCTGATCCTTTTTTTGAGTTGACTCAAAAATAGACTACAGGCATGAAACGTGGAATTGGGTACGCTGCAAAAGCAATACCTTTTCTAGTTTCGCTAAGACTGTTCTTGCCAGTGCTTCTGCCCTCCAGGGCATCCATCTGATGCGATATGTTGAAACATGAGAATGCGGAGAGGGGAATGAGGGGAGGAATTAGGGGAGGGGAATGAGGGGAGGAATTAGGGAAGGGGAAGGAGGGGAGGAATTAGGGGAGGGGAATTTGGGGAGGAATTAGGGGCGGACTGCTCTTGCTTGCCAGTGCTTCTGCTCTCCAGGGCATCCATCTTATGCGATATGTTGAAAGATGAGAAGGCAATGTGAATACGAGAATGTCTTGAAAAATGAGAAATGAAATATGAGCAGAATATGACCCTTCAAAAACCGATGTCTTAGCCTGAGTGAGTTTGATATTGCTGGGAGAAAACCACTTATCTTTTTTGGACTGTTAGAGGTTGGAATTAACATAGAGGTGGCTGAGGATGGAGAACCCCTTCGTGATACGAAGAGGGTAACAGCGGAAATGCGGAGAGGGGGAAAGGGGAGAATGTGGGAAGGGGAAGAGAGGAGAATGTGGGGAGGCGGAGAGAGGAGAATGTGGGGAGGGGGAGAGGGGAGAATGCGGGGAAAGGTAGAGGGGAGAATGCTGGGATGGGGTGTGCGAAGAACGCGGGAAGGGGGAGAGTGCGTTACAGGTGAAGCAGGGGAGGATGGCAGGCGAGGGCGTCCCATCCGCATTCGTTGATCACGCGTAGGTATGCTGCCAGTTGCCGCTGCGTGCTCTGCATCCATCCCATCACAACAACTATCGGTCTCAAGCTGGTACAAGTCCAACTAGCAGAGCGGAACCCGTCTGCAGCTTCTGGAACGGAGCTGTGGTAACGGCTGGAATGCGGACGGAATCCGTCTAGAGCAGCCGGATTCTGGCTGCAGGAATCGACATTGCATTCTCCCTGGTGTGCTTCTGAGCCGTCGGCAGTTTGCGATCTGTTGCTGTCGTTTCGTGAAGTGGAAGTTGCATGCGCTGCGAATGGACCTACATTGGCTAGACCGTTGCGTTCTTGCAGCGAATGCGTGGTACATTCAGCCGGAATTGAAGCTGCTGCTGTTCGATCGGAGCTCGTCTCTTGAGCGGTTGACGAGCAGGAAATTGCTTGTCCATGGAATTGAATTGCCGAATGTTCTTGGGATTCTGCAGGCCCTGGAATGGAGGAGCTGACTGGTTCGTTTGCGACTCGGCTCCAGTAGATAATAGACTTGCTGTTCTGTGTCCTGGCCATTCTGCATCATTCCTTATCCTGGACTTTTGCTTGGTTGATGTCTGACAACTGATGGTATGGGTTCTTGCACACCATCAGGATGCACGAGCGAGGCAGGAGCAGATGCAGGGCTGGGAAGATGAGCTTGAAGGAGAAGGCGTTTCGCTAACAGACTTTCTCAACCGTGTTAGAACTGCTAATAAAGCTGTAGATTGCAGAGCACCCAACGTGACCGTGCTCAAAACGTAGTTGCAAATAAATAAATGTGCCACCAATAGTGACTAGTATTTGACGTCAAGTGTTTGAGAGCCAATCAACGACCACGTCAATTCCAGCTTCTCAAACTTGTAACGAATCATTCGTCGCCAGGTCGTGTTTCGAAACTTGGCCGTAGGTCTCATGACCTAGACTATCCGGTTACCACATACTTGACAATTTCGAACAGACATCATGCCCAGTCGATCTCTGATATCTTAGTTGAAGCCAGTTTCTAGATAGGTTCCGAACTGAGAGTTTTGTGCAGAACCCGCCGCTCTGTATATCAAAACAGGTCCTGGAGAATAGGAAGTTTCAGGATCGTCTTACTGAATCTGGTTGCCTCGAGATTCTCCAGCAATCAGTTTGGCACGGACGCTTGACATTCCCAGTCCAGAGTCCGGCAAACCCGGCTAGCTTACTACGACGACCAGCTCTGATTTGGGTTGATCGTCGTCCTTAGTTGCTAACACTGATGCTGTGCATTGGAAGTGGGTTCCTGTTCAGGATGCACTTACGCGCGGAGATCTAATGGTTCCCCGGTGCCTTGAGCTCTGTTGAAATTCCGTGATGAGCTAACTACGGTGGTTCTAGTCATGCCACAATACCTTCGTGATCGCAGAGGCGGTCTCAGGATTCATGGATCGCAGTTGGTTTCAACGGCTGCTGTCTGTGTCCTATTTTATATAACATCTTCATAGCACCTCCCACTTATATCTCTTTCTTTTTTCTTCTTTTGCTTTTTCGTCCTTCACACTACTTTTTTTCATGCTACCAAAATAGTCAGCAGCACAGACATTTGACTCGATTCATCCCACAGGGTGCCGTGACAACAATCTACAATATACCGCTTCAGCAACCATGATAGGGTTAGGTCAATACGCGGCTCTGAGCCTAGCCACCTTACTGGGAGTAGTCTACCATGCCTTCTACACGCGGGAGCAGTTCTTTCCAGCCATGCTCTACCTTTCTACCTCCAAAATCTGCCTAGTTGTCATGGGGAATATGGCCTTCGTCCTGCTATTGCTTCTCGGCCATATCGTCAAAGCCATTTTCCTCGGAAAGCTGCGGGAAGCTGAGGTCGAGAGACTACACGAGCTGTCGCGGCACGAGATCATGGAGACGTGCCTCGCGATGACGATTTTCCGGGAGGAATTCACCTTTTCTTTCGTCGGGATGTTTTCGACCCTCCTTTTTGTGAAGATTTTCCACTGGCTGGCGCAGAAACGGGTGGAGTATATCGAAACGACGCCCGCAGTTTCGCGGCTTTCTCACATCCGGATCACCGTGTTCATGGTGCTGCTACTGGCGATGGACTGCGTGCTCGAATTCCAGGCGGTCTCGTACCTTCTGAAGACTCGCTCCGCTTCAGTCCGGATTCTCTTCGCCTTTGAGTAAGAGTGCCATATTTTCCTTTTTATATGGCGCCAAATAAATCGCTTGCTGGGTCTTCTGTAACATCGTTTTAATTCGATATAGGCCTCTCTGCAGGTCGCTCCACTCCGCATCCTCACGCCCGCTTTTAACCGCGCCTGATACGTCATTATTGCGGCGCCATGCTGGAAAACGTTGTTTCCTCGTCCTCGTGTAGCACTGTCGTAGTTTGGCCTCTCTTCTTCAACCTTCCACTGCAGGCATTTCATCCTAACGTCCGTCATACTGCCCCTCCATGCTGACACAGTGGTCGAGGGGCAGTGGCAGCACAAGGCCGCTGCTTACACCACTGAGAGCGTTGCTATCTCCCCCATTTGTAACATCGTAACATTGTAACATCGCAGGTACTTCATCCTGGCGTCCGCCATGCTGGCGAACATCGTCGAGTACGTGTTGTATATGGTGGACACGGTGATGGAGGGGCAGTGGGAGCACAAGGCGATCGCTTACACCCTTGAAAACGATGTTATTTCACCCCTTTGTAACCTTGTAACATTGTAACATCGCAGGTACTTCATTTTGGCGTCCGCCATGCTGGCGAACATCGTCAAGTATGTGTTGTACATGGTGGACACGGTGATGGAGGGGCAGTGGGAGCACAAGGCGACTTACATCTTCTACCTCGAGCTCGTGAAGGACCTCCTGCACCTCCTCGTCTACCTCGCCTTCTTCTCCATCATCTTCATGTGAATTTTTTTCTTCTTCTTTTCTTTTCCCTCTCTTTTTTTTTTTTTTTTTTCCTCTTCTTCTTGTGTGGAATAGAATGTGAGAAACCTTACATATCTCCGCAATGCTTTTCTTTAAACGATATATTGTGCGTGATAGAACCATGTCTGTGTGAGTGATTTTTTGTAACATTGTCAAGGCGATTTACATCTTCTACCAGGAGCTCGTGAAAGGCCTCCTGCACCTCCTCTTCTACCTCGCATTCTTCTTGTGTGAGAAAGGAAATCCCTTTGTATGTTAAATCTTCTTTCCTCACGAGCTCTACCCTTCTCTCTGTTCCTCTCTCCCTGATCTGCGTCCCTCCTTGTTCTTCGTGCACTCCCCTCCCCTCCCCTCTCATCCCCTCCCCTCCCCTCTCCTCCCCTCCCCTCCCCTCCTCTCTCCTCCCTTCCCTTCCGGACGTACGGCCTGCCCCTGCATCTCATCCGCGATGCCTACGAGACCTTCCAACAAGCCTCCAACAAGCCTCATCAAACTAAACTCTTTTGATCCCTGTTCTGCTCTCCCTTGTTCTGTCCCCTTCTCCTCCCCTCCGCTCAGGACGTACGGCTTGCCCCTGCACCTGATCCGCGACCTCTACGAAACCTTCCGCAACTTCCGCATGCGCGTGGCCGACTTCATCCGCTACCGCCGCATCACCTCCAACCTCAACGAGCGGTTTCCCGACGCGACTCCTGAGGAGCTCGAGAGGTGAGTACATGAGAAGTCCTGCCAGGTTTCAGAAGCCTGTCCAGGTGCCAAAAGTCTGACCAGGTCTCAGATAGTCACATGCGAGTGGCTGACTTCATCCGCTACCGCCGCATCACCTCCAACCTCAACGAACGCGTTCCTGATGCAACGCCTGAAGAGCTTGAGAGGTGTTTGTTTTGGCTTGGTAAAGTCATTCAATTGAGGCATGTAAAGAGTGTCAGGGAGGCGCATGCGCGTGGCTGACTTTATCCGCTACCGCCGCATCACCTCCAACCTGAACGAGCGCCTCCCTGACGCGACTCCTGAAGAGCTCGAGAGGTATTCCGTTTGCTATTCCATTCAGGTGAGGCTTGTTAAGTTTATTAGAACGGCACATGCTGAGTGGCAGGCAGACTTGATCCGCAATCCATCTCAACCACTCCCCTCCCCCCATCCCCCAGGTGGCGGACAGCACCCTCTGCAGCCTGCAGAGATATGATTTTCGTAGACGACTCAAAAGCTTATTCTCCCCCCACCCCTCCAACCGCCGTCCCCCCTCATTCCACAGGGCGGACAGCACGTGCATCATCTGCAGGGAGGAGATGACGTCAGCCAAGAAGCTTCCCTGCGGGCACCTCTTCCACGTGCACTGCCTGCGCTCCTGGCTCGAGCGCCAGCAGACCTGCCCCACCTGCCGCGCGCCCCTGCTGCAGCCCCAGGCGCAGCCCACGCCCCCCCCTGCCGCCGCTGCCGCCGCCGCCGCTGCTAGAAACGCCGCCGCTGCTGCTGCCGGTGCTGCCGGTGCTGCTGGTGTTGGCGGTGCTGGTGGTGCTGGTGGTGCGGGTGGTAATGTGGGCCTTGGGGGGATTGCTGGTCTGGGGTTTGGAGTGCCAGGGGGGGCTGGGGTTGTGCCTCTTGCGGCTCCTGCTGCTGCGCCTGGTGTTGCTCCTGGCGGTGCTGCTGGTGGTGGCGGCGTGGGCGGCGTCATTCCCTTGGGGCAGTTTCGCATTGCGGCGGGCGGGGGAATGCCGGCTGTGCATGTGTTTCACGGGCAGTTGAACCTTCCTGGCGGGATGGGCGCAGCGGGAGCAGGTGGGGCGTTCGGGCAGGGGCAGCAGCAGGTGCTGCATGGGTTACAGGGATTGCAAGGGCAGCTGGAACAGCAGCCGTATCTGCAGCAGCAGCTGCAGCAGCTGCTATACGCTCAGCAGGTGCAGCAGCAGCAGCACCAGCAACACCAGCAGTGGCACCAGTGGCAGCAGATGCAGCAATGGCAGCAGTGGCAGCAGTGGGGGCAGTGGCAGTACTGGCAGCAGTGGCAGCAGCAGGTTCAGGCTGCATATGCGGCTGCAGCAGCAGCAGCAACCGGTACATCTGGAGCAGCAACCGGTACATCTGGAGCAGCAACCGGTACATCTGGAGCAGCAACTGGTACATCTGGAGCAGCAACCGGTACATCTGGAGCAGCAACTGGTACATCTGGAGCAGCAACTGGTACATCTGGAGCAGCAACTGGTACATCTGGAGCAGCAACCGGTACATCTGGAGCAGCAACTGGTACATCTGGAGCAGCAACCGGTAGATCTGGAGCAGCAACTGGTACATCTGGAGCAACAGCAGGTACATCTGGGGCAGGGCCATCTGGGGCTTCACCTACTTCTGCCAACGCTGCTTCTCCGTCTGCATCCGCTGCTACTAACACTCCTGGTGGTGAGGCTAGTGCGGGTGGGTCGTCAAGCACAACTGCTGTTGCAGCTTCCACTGCAGCTCACACCGCTGCTCCTACTGCACCTGCCACTGCAACTGCCACGGCAACCCCCAGTTCGGCTCCCAATGCAGCCCAGCCCCCTCCTGCTGCAGCCTCTGCCTCTGGATCAGATGCCTTCCTTCGCCAATACAATGCCTGGTACGTTGTCTCTCACTATCCTGCTTTCACTTCTTTTGAGGTGCCTCAAATCCAAAGCCCCCTGCTGCAGCAAGTGCTTCTGGATCAGATGCCTTTGGTTTCAATGGAATGCCTTGTACGTCTTATCTGCTGTTCTGCTGCATTTAACAATTGATACACGGAGTTGCTGTTAGATATAGGATTCTTGTCATGTGAATTTGGTCTTTTATCGTGTTGATTTTATGAAGGGTCAACAAGGTGGTCTTTCAACTGGTCTCAGCTAGTTGTTTTGGCTGCTGCTGTGCTGAATGATATCGTTCTTCTTTTTTTCCAACATTCTTTTGTGAACTGGTGGTTGCTTATTGGTTGCTTATCTTCTTCTTGGTTGTCCAGGTTGTCAGCTGCATACCCACAGCAGCAGCAGCAGCAGCATCAGCAGCAGCAGCAGCAGCATTCGCAGTACCAGCAGCAGCAGCAGCAGCAGTACCTTCAGCTGCTTCAGCAGTATCAGCAGCCACAGCAGCAGCAGCAGCAGCAGCAGCAGCAGCAGCAGCAGCAGCAACAGCAGCAACACCTGTACCAGCAGCAGTACCTGCAGCAATACTTGCAGCAGCTGCAGCAGCAGCTAACAGCACAGGCACAAGCACAGGGACATGTGCAGGCTCAAGGGCAGGTACCTGCTGGCTCTCAAGGGCAGGCAGCTGGCCCCACTGGTTCTGGTGCAGGTGCATCCGGTGCAGGTGCATCCGGTGCCGCTGCTTCCGGTTCAGGTGCATCTGGTGGAGGTGCATCTGGTGCAGGTGCATCTGGTGCAGGTGCATCTGGTGCAGGCACAAGCGAACAAGCACCTCAGACCCCCCTCACTGCTGCCCAGGCCCAGCCCACTGTGCCTGCTAGTTCCAATAGCACAGGTGCGGATGCCTCTGCTGGCCTGGACAATGGTGTCAGTGGTAACAGTGGTAGCAGCAGTGGCAGTGGTAGTGTTGGGAATGCTGCTGCTCCTAGTGTTGCTGGTGTGGAGCCCTCTCAAGGAAGCAGAGGGGAGGGACAGGGGCAAACGGCAGGAGGTGAAGGGCAGGGTTAGAATGGTCATGGCTGACTGATTTTTTCATGAAGTTTTCTGTACTAGTTGTTACATTATCACCGAAGGTAGCAACTGCTAGCATATTTGGCAGCTGCTTCTATTTCACATATTAAAAAGTGTTTTACTGCTTGCTTTCCTTACAGAACAGAACGTCACCTAGGAGGGACTTATTCGCCATGAGGATTGACTTGTACGGTATTATGCGTTACAGCATGTAGGATAGGGACAACATTTCGCTTGGACTGATAATGAAGTGTCCTGTCTGAGCTTTCTAACAAGGTGTGTGAACAGAAGAATTTAACCAACAATCCCTGAAGCCTCTGCCACAATCTCCAATGCGTCTTTGAACTCCTGTGATTCTATCAGTGTTGGATCATCTTTTGCTCCATCCTGCATCAGAAAGAGAGCGCGAGAGGGCAAGCAAAACAGAAAGCAGAACAGAACAGAGCAAACGGATCTCAGAAGTGAAAGCAGACAAGAATGCAGAACAGGGGGAATCTACTAAGTTTGAGCAGGAAACATAGGTAAAAAAAGGTAGGGTGCTAAGGAATTTCTTTGTGAAAGGGAGGGAAGTCATGGTAGTAGGGGGGAGAGTGAGGCAGCAAATATAGACGCGGTACATGCGGCCTGCACATTGCAACCTAAGGTCATGATAGGGTGCTTCTAGGTAGGAAATAAGGGGAAGGGGCTTACCAAACCGGGAGACCAGTCAGCACTTTCGCATTTTGGTACCCTTACAGGGACAATCGCACTCACCACTGCGGATTGGAGGTCGTAGTAGGCGGATTCGAGTCGCTTGCGACAATCAGGGACCATCATACGCGATTCGGCGAGAACGTTCTCCTGCGTGTGAGCATGATCACAACCACGAGCTTAGTAACCGGCATTTTCAACAGATAAAGCCACCTGTTACAATAAATGACTTAGCTGCGGTGCAATAAAATTGGAACTCCGTGCCTGCTGTTTGATGTCGTGCGAATCTGCACCGCGTGCCTTCATGTCCTCTACTTTAGCAGCATCCTTCTCGACTTCTGTTTCATACGATTTCAACTCTTTTAGCAAGCGTTTGCAGATTCCTGCCCGCAGCTTCAGCTCCTTGACATCCGCCATGGTCAGCAACTACTGGAAGCGGCGATGCACACCTGTAGGCAACGAAACAGGTTGAAATGACAAACTCTCGCCTAGATTATGGGAGAAACGTCCTAATTTATAGCTGGAAGCTAAGGAGGTCAGGGCTGAAAGTACTCTGAAAGTACTCTGCTTGGGATAGGGGCGTCGCCCCAAGAGATCATGAATTTGGATCAGAATCATCTAGTAAGTTCCTGACAGCTGGCTGTGCGAGGGACGAATGCTCCTCGCCTGCGAGAGTATCACACAAATGATCCGTGACCCACACAAATCCCGAGTTGTCACTTCTCACTTCGAACATATGTCTCTTCGCGGATCTCGCTTGCGTCGCATCGCAATATCTCGTCATAGTACTACTCGGTACAGTGTAGTGTTCGGTCAGCTTGACTCGACACAGAAATACAACTTGGGAGCTTCACTTCAAAATGTTGTTCACATCACTGTGACACCGATCCCAACCGCTGAGAGACACAGTTTGTTTTCAAGACGAAAGCGCAACCACAACGAGACCACGATTTCCAGCTCCTAGAATCAGAATGCAACTCAGCCACATCCATTCTTTCCATGCGCGCCAGCCTCGGATTCATACACGCCCAAAGCCGCATTCTGTTCCCGCTGAGGCGTTCCGCATGATATATCTCAGCGGACAAGCGAGTCGGTTTTCGCTGAGAGATTCCCTTCCTTCCCTCCTGCCAGTTTTAGGGATCCTGGTTTGCCAGCAGCCTTGTTGCTTTGGTTGAACCAACCTAGGTGAAGAAAAAACGAATAAAATAAATAATAATCTGCATGCACCCGAAAGTCGTTCAGCGCGTTCGAATCCTTATTAACAGTTCTTTATCAATATGTGCGAGCCCGTTTCGCGGCGAGCGGTTTCACTACTACGACCATGGCTCGTCAGCTTGCTTACAGGTGCGGTGCGCATTCCCTCATTTCCTGCTGCTGTCGCCTTCCGCTCTTAACCCGTCTGCGCTCCCGCAGTCATTTCATTCTTTAGGCTCCTCAAAAGTCGTCCTTGATTCTCCTCCTGCCCCTGCTGTCGCCTTCCGCTTTTATCCCGTCTGCGCTCCCGCAGCCTTGTCATCACAGTCGAGCATTTTCTTGGTGACTTTTGAGTCGACTCAAAAGTCACTCGCAACCTTGTCATCACAGTCGAGCATTTTCCTGCTTTCGTCCGTTTGTTTTTATTCCATGTAACCTTCCTGTTTTTGTCCTTCCATTATCAACCGCATCATCCTCGGCGTCTCAACCGTCCACCCTCCACACTTAACTTCCCGAACTACCACCCGCCCCTTACCTTGAAATCATTTATTTCATGAAACTTTCCTGTTTTGTCCTTTCATTATCAACCGCATCATCCTCGGCGTCTCAACCATCCGCACCCTCCACACTTACCTTCCCGTACTACTCCCCCCCGCCCTGTTCTTGCGTGCAAACCCGTTCCTTTCAGTATCATTACTTCTCGCTTTGTTCGTCACAACCGCAACATCTCAAAGTACGTGTTTCTCTATGCAAACCCTCTCCTTCCAGTATCATTACCTTCACGTACCTTCACGTACCTTCACGTACCTTCCCTTACTACCACTACCCATTCTTGCGTGCAAAACCTCTCCTTCCAGTATCGTTACTTCTCGCCTTGTTCGTCACATTCGTCACAACCGCAACACCCCAGAGTACGTGGATCTCTCTATGCGTCTTGACTTTTGAGTCGACTCAAAGAGGTGACTTTTGAGTCGACTCAAAGAGGTGACTTTTGGGTCAACCCCAACCTCTCTCTCCATATCTTCCCCTCTTGCCTACACAGCCTTTCTGACATCCCTTCTGCGGGGTTCAGATCAGGCATCTTGGCCTCCCTCGTATAACATCCTAAGAACTCTCTTTCCCGTATCTTTTCCTGTCTCCCGTATCTCCCCCTCTTTCCTGTGTGCAGCCTATCTGACCTCCTTCCTGCGGGGTCCAGGCATCTTGGCCTCCCTCGTACTCTCAAAACATCCTAAGAACTCTCTTTCCCGTATCTTCCCCTGTCTCCCGTATCTCCCCCTCTTTCCTGTGTGCAGCCTATCTGACCTCCTTCCTGCGGGGTCCAGGCATCTTGGCCTCCCTCGTACTCTCAAAACATCCTAAGAACTCTCTTTCCCGTATCTTCCCCTGTCTCCCGTATCTCCCCCTCTTTCCTGTGTGCAGCCTATCTGACCTCCTTCCTGCGGGGTCCAGGCATCTTGGCCTCCCTCGTACTCTCAAAACATCCTAAGAACTCTCTTTCCCGTATCTTCCCCTGTCTCCCGTATCTCCCCCTCTTTCCTGTGTGCAGCCTATCTGACCTCCTTCCTGCGGGGTCCAGGCATCTTGGCCTCCCTCGTACTTTCCAACTCCTCCGAATCCTGCCATGGAATTTTAGTTCAGCTGACCGTGGCGGGTAATGTTGAAAATCCCCCTCTCTCTCTCATGGTAGAGCGGCCCAGGAGCGCAGCAGCAGTGCCTGGAGGGGTACAATTGAAGACCACAAAGAAATCGGAACAGGTGAGTTGGCTGGTCGTGTGGGCATGTGGATAGATTGGTTGTGAAGTTTGTAAAAAGGTGGTTAGGTGGGGACCCTGTCTCCTGTATCCCCTGTCTTTCAGAAATAGGCGGGTAACAAGCACCCCTGTTTTCATTCAACCCCCCCTGTAACGCCTGTGGGGCTTACAACACGTAAGGGTTGAGCGCCTCCGCTGCGCCTCAAGTATAACCCTCGTTTTGACCCAGTGGGTAGCGAGGTGTTACACCCCCTCCCCTCCCCATTACCCCCCATCCCCTGACGCCCTCCCCTTCCCTCTCCCTTTCCTCCATTTCCGTCCTACCTTCAGCTGTTTTCGTTTTGCCAGGAAGCCTCACCAGGCACTACCAACCAACTCCCTTCATACGCGCCCATAAACATGTTCTCCCACATATCTCAACTTTGCAGCTCTTCCGGTGTGACAGCGTGTGAGAGAGCACAGCAGCAACTGCCTGCCAACCTGACTCCTCCACCCTCCACCTGCCATCGCTGGCCCGCCAGAAGGCCTACCTGTGGCCGGCAGAGATTGAGTGGAGGATAGTAGCGGAAGGGGAGATGGCAGCGGCTCCTAGCAAACCAATGAGGGACTCGTCTCCCCATCAATCAACCCCAGAATTTCCCCCTGTGCCTCCCCTTCCCACCCCCGCTACAGCTCTTCCGGTTTGGCAGTGACTGGGAGAGCACAGCACCAACTGTCTTCTCAGTTAACAGCTGCCAGCCTGCAATAGCCCTCGACTTGCTGTCTCTCGCCCGCCAGAAGGCCTTCCTGTGGCCAGCAGAAATGGAGTGGTGGATCGCAACGGAAGGGAGGATGGCAGCGGCCCACAGGGACCCTCTGGGGGACGCCTCTCTTCCACCGCGATTCGCTGTGGTTGACGTGACTCGACTCCTCTCCCCCTCCACACATTCCCTGTGCCTCCCCATCCTTCCCCCACCCCACTCCCCCCTCTCCAGCTCTTCCGGTTTCGCACTGAATGGGAGAGCACAGCACCGACCGTATATTCTGTAAACAGCTGCCAGCCTGGCGCCTACCTCGACTTGCCATCTCTCGCCCGCCAGAAGGCCTACCTGTGGCCGGCAGAGATGGAGTGGTGGATCATAGCGGAAGGGGAGCTGGTGGCGGCTCACGGGGACCCCGTGGGGGACGCCTCTCTTCCACCCCGATTTCCTGCGCCGAAATACGGTGCTGCGTTTGCGAGCGATGGAGTGGTGTATGGCGGGGCGTATGTCAGTGAGCTACGGTGAGTGAGTTGAACAAGGTACAGTAGGAAAACAGGGACCCTGTGGGTGACGCCACTCTTCCACCTCGTTTCCCCACGCCGAAATATGATGCTGCGTTAGCGAGCGATGGAGTGGTGTATGGCGGGGCTTACGTCAGCGAGTTACGGTAAGTTTAACGAGAAACAGTAGATTGGAGCAAGCTGCAGTGAGGCTTTGCAAGCTACAGTACGTTGGAGCGAGCTACAGTGAGGCTTTGCGTTGCGAGCTACAATAAATTGGAGTGAGCTACATTGACAGTGAGCTAATGTAAGTTTTACCGAGCTGCAGCCATTGGCCATGATAAGTCGTCCTCTTGCTCTCCCTTGCGCCATCAGCAGTTCTTCTCATCCACATAGGATTCCCACCTTTTTCTTTGGGCTGGCGCTCTTCATCCGCCCGATTTGTCTCTACTGGTACTTGGTTGCATTGCAGGTTTAGCTCTCGTGTGGAGCTCAGCTATACAATCACTCTCGTCGGACCCTCGACCAATCCAGTGGCATTAGAGCTTCTCTTTCTTCAAAGCATTCTGAAGGATAATGTCGATCACCTTTGGCTGCCATGCTTCTGGTTCACGTCACTGCCCCATGTGTGGAATTGTTACGGCATCCATTCACTTTCTTACCGTGACTTTGGATTGTTATATGAGGGAGAGGTTTCTGGAGTGGTTTTTAGGAGTCTAAGGTTCAGAATAGCTGAATTGGAGGTGTACGGTAATCTAACAACCCTGCCACATGTTCTACATTTACGAAAAGGTTGATGTGATGCTATTGTTTCCATACCCACCCATGTTTCTTCCTTGTACGGTATCATCTCTCGTGTTTGTTCTTCTAACATAATAAAGGTTCTAACATTCAATGTTATAGAGTGATGTTGGGAACAATTGATTTAAAGGCGTTTCTGTCGTGGCGAAAACACCAAGCCACAAGCGAAGCAAAGCATATCGAAACGCCCGCAAGTCAACCCTCGGAGGTTGAAGTAACCGCTGGAGGTTACGCGAAAGTCAAAGGTCAGCGACTTTTGACCTGACCAGTACAGCGCGACAGCAAGGACACACAACTGACTCGTTACAGAGCAGTTGCCCGAGTCGTCACTGTATCGAACCGCAACAGCAACAATAAAACAGTTATAGTTGTACCCTTTCATATTCCTTGTACTCTTATATAATCTTGTACCGTAATCCCCTGGATATAAAGCCCGCCGATTTAAAGCCCCCATGGGTGGTTTATGCGGGGAGGATTTTCTATTTCGGAATCCGCAATACAACACCCCCTTTTTTGCCTTACTAACAGAGCACCCCCCCCCCCCCCCCCCCCCCCCCCCCTTGTGACCCTAGTGAGTGTAGCTTAAAACTGTTTGTTAATTACTCGAACACAGGAGCTACCATTCACGA